CAAGATCCCTGCTCAGGCTGCCCCTCCCCTGGTCTCCGACCCCTTTTTGCGGTGGGACCCGGGAGAGGAACTCCAGCCAGGCCCCCGCCTAGAGAGAGTTCACAGGTCCCTGGGCAAAGCTGCTGGGCCACGTGGCTCTGGGACGGCTCCCCAGTGCTCGATGCTCAGCGAGGCACCTGGCCCCTTCCCCAGCCCGGTGAGGTTGGGCCCTGCCAAGGGCTGGCAGCTTCCAGCACAGAGCCAGCTGGGAGGCGGGTACAGACCCGGGTCTCACGTTGTTCCCAGATTTTCCCAATAGGGTATGTCTACACTATGCTGCTAGTTCGAACTAGCGGGGGTAATGTAGTCATCCACAGTTGCAAATGAAGCCCGGGATTTGAATTTCCCGGGCTTCATTTGCATGAAGCCGGCTGGCGCCATTTTTAAATGCCGGCTAGTTCAGACCCCGTGCCGCACGGCTACACGCGGCACGGACTAGCTAGTTTGGATTAGGCTTCGAAGGCTCATTGATCGGGGTTACTCTAATGGGGCGGGGGGAGGTTGACAATTCTACCCGTCTGCTGTATGGAGCTGCCTCTCCCCCGCTGCCTTTTCCCCCTCCCACTGGAGCTGTCCTGCAGGCGCTAGGTTCCTCAGGGCGGGGCTCCTCCCACCTTAGCAACACACAGACACTCACCCCCCTACCAGAGCACGGCGGAGAGGGCTGGGGAATCCACACTCCCAAGATGACCCCTCCTATGTCCCTGGCCTCACAGGCTGGTTTAGCAGCAGTGCCACACGGCCCCCGCATGAGCCCTTGGACTGCGTGGGCTGGACTGAACAGCTCTTGAAGCTGCCTTCCTCGTATGCCCCCAGGTTCAGCACCTCCCTGTCCCCACTCTCACCCCACTGTCATTCACTGGTAAACCACACGATGAGCAAACCCCACAGGACTTTGGGCACGACAGGGGTCTTTAGCGTGGGTACAAGAAGCGTTGTTACACAGCGAGTGGGGAAGCCAAAACAAAAGAAAGAGAGAGAAGCAACCAGTTTAACAATGAAAGTTAGTTATTTCTGGGTAGTGAATAGATATGGGGAGCCAAGCACACAAGTTACAATAGTAAATCTACATGGAAGCTGATTACAAATGTTAGGGCTATCACACCATATAAGAACATAAGAACGGCCGGACTGGGTCAGACCAAAGGTCCATCTAGCCCAGTGTCCTGTCTGCCGACAGTGGCCAGCACCAGGTGCCCCAGAGAGGGTGGACTGAAGACAATGATCAAGCGATTTGTC